GGCTCATCTGTTATGGTTTTGGCCTATCCATTAACGTAAAGTTTCCAAATTTCTTTGTTTAGGGTTTTTTTTTTTTTTTTAGGTTGTTTTTTAATATGTATTGAGGTGAGCTCAATGATGAAGTTTGCTAGCACTTAAGATTTCATGATCGACCTAAGTAAGATGTGTAGCTCAAATTCATTGAGCTTTACTACCCATTTGATTAACCTTTCTAACATTTCTAGTTTTTGTAAGACTTTCCTAAATGGTTGATTGGTCAATACATGGATCACATGGGCTTAGAAATATGGTTTGAGTTTTCTGGCCGAAGTAACAATCACGTAAACTAATTTTTCTATACCACTGTAGTTAATTTATGGCCCTGTTAATACTTTACTCACAAAATACACCAGTCTTTACTTTTTTTTCCTCTCAAATTAAAACCTAATTGATGACTTGGTTTATGGTGGCCAAGTATAAGTACAAGGTTTCGTTAGACCTCAACTTATATAAAATGGATGAAAAGGACTACAACTTTCTGAATTCTTTAAAAGTTTTTTGACATTGAGGGGTTCACTTAAAGTTAAAGACATTTTTAAGAATTTTGAAGAATGACAGACATTGTTCTACTGACCTGGACATGAATTGACTTAGGGTAGCTATTCTACCAATTAACCTCTATACTTTTTTCACAAAGGTCAGTGCCTTCATGTTTATAATTGCTTGAACCTTTTCTAGGTTCATCTCTATCCTTTTTTTATTGATTATGTAACCAAGAAACTCACCTATCATGACTCTGAAAGCACATTGCTTAGATTAAACCTCATATTATACTTTTTCAAGGTGTTAAAGATCTTTCTGAGGTCTTTCAAGTGCTCGATCAAGCTCTTACTTTGACTATCAAGTTGTCCTTATATACTTTCATGTTGTGGCTGATTTGGTTTTTAAACACTTTATTTATCAACTTTTGGTAAGTCACTCTTATATTTTTCAATCTGAAGGGCATCATCTTGTAATAATATATGCCTTTTTCAGTAATAAAGGCTATCTTTTCCTCATTATTCTTTAGCATTTTGATTTGATTGTAACTAGAATAAGCATCCATAAAGCTAAAAATGTCATGCTCGGTAATATTATCCACCAGTCGATCTATGGTAGGAAGAAGAAAGTTATCTTTTGGGCATGCCTTGTTCAAGTTAATAAAGTCAATGCACATTCTTCATTTCCCATTATGGTTTTTGACTATGACTACGTTGGCTATTCATTCAAGGTAATAGACCTCATTGATAAAGCTTACTTGTAGTAATTTATCGATCTCTTTTTCGATGACACTTTGTCTTTTTTATGTAAAAGTTCTTTTTTTTTTGTTGAATTGATTTTACCTTGAGATTAGTATGCAGCCTGTGGACTATTACTTCGATATTAATTTCAAGCATATCGGATGGTGTCTAAGTGAACAGGTCGACATTATCTTTCAGAAGTTGAATTAACTAATCCTTATGTTGAAATTTGTTTTCGATTTGCATATGTTTTTAGGGGATGCTATCCCATAACAAAATTGTTATGAGATCTTCGACTGGCTCAAGTTCGTTTTCATTTTAGTTCGATCTTTGTCCAATTATCTCTTTTTGTTCGATTAGGTCAAAATTATTTTTAAAGAAAATAGACCCCGATATGATGATCAATATATTATTGATGACTTGTTGAATATATATGTAGTGAAATTGGTATCTATTTTTCATTTCATACTGCATTTTGGTTAGCATATTGACTCAGTCCAAATAATATGTAATTGTCCACGCCAGCTTAAAGGCTTAATTATCTTTAAATTTATTTCAAAAAATTCAATAAATAAAATAAAAGATTTTTTTTTGTTAGAATTTAAGAGCTTAAAGCAACTTCGAGTTTCTGTCAGGTCGGTATTATGCTTTATGTTTTTGCTAGTGGCTTTCTACTTCTTATCAGCTTTCGTTATTTGCCCTTTCTTAGTGATTTTGGTTTTGACTGAATTGCCAGTCTGGTTCCTAATCTTCTATTTGATTATTGTGACATAACACTATCGTGCTGTGGACTGGTTTCCCTTGACTTCTTTAACCCTATTGGGTATTAAAATTTCACTTTCAAATGATGAGCTAAGCTTATGAGTTACATAACAAATTGGCTAGGTTGACCTAATGTCATGTTGTAAGTTGATCAGATGTTTACAATCATAAATTCTATGATTGAGGTGATAGCTATTTGTAGCTTAATGGTTTCTTTCACTGATACCTATTTGCTCCTGGTTTTTAACTTGTAGAGCTTGCACTTTAAAATACGTGAAATAGCTCTTCAAACATTCATTGCGACCTTGGTAGATTGCCATTAAACTCAGAGTTGTCTTATTCATTCTTTGGTTAATCACAAATCAAGACAGGAAAGAGTGGTTGAGCTCTTTAAATGTTATAATTGACCTTAGTTCAAGGCTGTTGTACCAGGATCAAGCTATAGCCTTTAAAAAGGTAGCCAAGCCTTTGCACATTAGAGCTTTGTTTGTACCCTGTATCATTACGTTAGTCTAATAAAATTTTCAATGATCGAAAGGGTTAGAAGTACCGTCATAGTTTTTAAAAGTCGACATTTTAAATTTTTTGGGAGGCATGGCTCTATCGATTTCTTCAATGAAAGGTGAGGTTTCCAGGAACTTAAGCTCATCCTCGAATACCACTGCTTTTGTTTTCAACTCTTTCTCCATAGCCTGTATTTGAGCTTTCAAGTTTTTGTTTGGTTGGGGTTCGGGGTTTGTTTATTTGGATTTTTGAGTTGTCATATGTGTCGAGTTATGGTTAGGGTAATGGTGAACTAGGATGTTATGCTCTTCTCTAGAGGTTGAAAAGGCTCTTTATAGCTTGGTTATCTTATCATAATTCCTCGGCCATGGGTGATTAAGTAGGGCACTTTCGAAGCTTGTTGTAGGGTTATGATCTATAATATCTGTTTAAGGGTCTAAATTTGCTTGGTCAAGGCCTGAAATTATTTCATGGTCGAGCTTGTCTGTGGTAGGAGAGGTCATTATAAGTGTTGACTATTATGTATTTTTATTTCAGTTGGGATGGCCAGTCTCTCCTTCTTCTAAGGTTATCTTCTTTGGTGGCATTGTTTCGTGCTCGGCTAGTGGATAAAAAGGTTTCTTACCTGGCAAACTAAATGTTTGTGTCGAGCTCCAATCTCAAAGTGTTCCTAGAAAGATAAAAGATAAAGACGGTTAAAGGTAAAGATAGGAAATGTTTCCTAAATTTGCCTTTGATGGGTAAGTCAGAATAAATAAGGTCGAAAGGAGAGTAATAAGGATAAATATGGATAGATTGGACTTGCCTTAATATTTGGATTTTTGGGTTGTCATATGTATCGAGTTATGGTTAGGGTAATGGTGAACTAGGATGCTATGCTCTTCTCTAGAGGTTGAAGAGGCTTCCAACTCTTTATAGCTTGGTTATCTTATCATAACTCCTTGGCCATGAGTGATTAAGTAGGGCACTTTCGAAGGTTGTTTATGATCTACAATATTTGTTTAAGGGTCTAAATTTGCTCGGTCAAGGCCTGAAATTATTTCATGGTCGGACTTGTCTGTGGTTGGAAAGGTCATTATAAGTGTTGACTATTATGTATTTTTATTTTAGTTAGGATGGCCGGTCTCTCCTTCTTCTAAGGTTATCTTTCTTGGTGGCATTGTTTTGTGCTAGGCTAGTGGATAGAAATGTTCCTTACCTGGCAAATTAGATGTTTGTGTCAAGCTCCAATCTCAAAGTGTTCCTAGAAAGATAGAAGATAAATACGGTTAAAGATAAAGACATGAAGTGTTTCCTGAGCTTGCCTTCGACGGGTAAATAAAAATAAATGAGATAAAAAAAAAAGTAATAAGGATAAATAGGGATATATTGGACTTGTTTTAATATTTGCTTAAATTTTCATATTTATAAATAAGTAATAGGGGATCATTAGAAGAAATAAAGACAATACCAAGCTGTTGTGACATTAGATATGTCATATCGACCTAACATATTAGATAAACATAAATGTTAAAATTATTCTTAATTTTTTGTTGATAATTTTTAATAAAAAAAATCACTATATCATTTTTACCGTAAATACTCCTGAAAAGCACAAAAGTGATGTCTTTTTCCAGCTGGTTAGTCAGACGAAGCACTTGTCGCATAAGTATGGCAGCTTCGGTTATCAAATTCATTGCTCAAATAAAGACATAAAAATTTGATCACGTCTGATATGCTCTGAGAGCCCGTGAACGTTTGTCGTTTGTTTGTTTTGTTTTGAGTGAATCCGTGATCAATTGGATCAATCCGTGACTAAACACCAACTAATTAACTTGATCATGTAGGACCCTGAAATGGATTTGTCTTACTAATTAATATTAAAATATTAAGGATAAATCACAAATTCATCTTTAGAGGCGGCAATTGGATTCGGGTTGGATCATTTCTTAATAATTTAGGTTTTTTTTTTTTTTTTTTTCAAAATTTGGATCTATATGAATCATTTTCGATTGGAACCAACTTTATTAGCTTTATTCTTCTATATAAATATCTGTCGTTTCATTTTTTTTTTGTATATTACTGTGTTACTAAAATCTTGGACCGTCGGAAATCAATTGATACCTGCAACTCGACGCATAATTAGCAGTGAGAGAGATCGGAGCTTGCCCCTAGGTAGCTTAATTTCTGACAATCAAATTAATAAGGAGGGTATGTTTAGAGAGAGAAAAGGCAGCGATAAAGAGCGTGAGAGTGGAGCATTCGCTATCAGAAATTGCTTAATTCGAACGAAATTTTATTGATGAAATTATTCCATTGGTAATTATAAATGAAATATGAATGAAATAAAATATTAATTTTTTAAAATATTTATAAATGAATTATCGATAAAATATCAAAAAATTATTCTTAATATTCTGTAAATAAATATTTGAAAGAAATGTAAAAAATTGATGCAAATATTATTAATAAAAATTTTCGTTAATATTACGTCAATAAATTAGTTTTTGATTTTGTCGATAATTAATTTTTGAATAAAAATTTAAATTTCAAAAAGAAAAAATTAGTGAATTCTTGAAATGTTAAAAATCCCTAGCACCCATCGACTCTCACGACCCATGCCCTCTCCCTTTCGTCCATCAAATCTCACTCTCATCTTACAATCCCTCTTCCTCACAGATCATATTTATCCTTCGTTGGTCTCTTCTCTCTCATACCTCCAGACCTCTCTTCTCTCACACGCTCACACTCATCCAATCTCATAGACACAGTCGGTTATGAGCCAAATTGTTCAACAGAAAGTGATAGTAATCGAGAAGGAAAATAGAGAATGAAGAAGCAGAAAATAGAGGAAGGAGAGAGAAATAAAGAAGAACGTGGAGAGAGAAAATTCTTTTTTTATATTGCTTAACAGTGCCCTCTACAATACGTTCCCTTCATCATTTGTATTACTCTAATAGAATGCACAGCTGTGATCCTTGAGTATAGGATGCTACAGCTCATACTCTTTCTCTCGTTCCATCTAATGGTAAGATCAGAAATTTAAAAACCGAAAACAAGCTAATAAGGCCTGGTCTGGAATAAAGCCTATTAACCAATCCAACAGCCTAATCCACAATTATGTTAAGCCCAGTAACAGCATACAGCCCGTAACACAGTTATTCGATAGTCGTCAATCGGTAGTGCGCGTCGCCGTGTCCTTGCCTTCACGTCGCTCCGCCTCCTTTCTTTCTCTCTCGGTATCTCTCAAGCTTATCCTGCTTGCAGTCGCGCCTTTCTTCCTTCTTCTCTCAGATTGCCATCGGTCCTGCCTCTCTTCAAAAGCATCGAGGTCAGCACCTTTTTTTCATCTTTGTTGCTTTGTTTAAAATTTTGCTGAATATCTTGAATATATGCATATATATATTATTCTTATTTTTTTGCTTATTCAGAATATTTGATTTTTCTTTAATTTCAACGCTGTTAGTAGGACTCAAATTTTTTTGGGCCAATTCGTAGGACTCAAAATTGACTCTTTAACTCTTTTGTTTGTGAAATAGCTATGTGCATTTGCCTTTGCCCCATTGCTGGTCTTTAGCATTGCCTACAAAGCCTTTCTAACGTATTGTCTGGTTTTAACGTTTGACCTAATCTTTGATTAGTCTTAACCCTGAATGAGGTTGCCTTATTTCCATTTCATTTCAAGCGAAACTGGAAATTTCTCAACAACAGATAATATTGAGGTTAATCAAGAACAATAACACCTTTTCATGTGGGTTATGTGTGTTTTAAGTCTAGCTTTTTCTTAGGAGACCCCATCCCATTTCCTTCACTTATCAGTTCGCTTTTTCGATTGGTTAAGAGTTTTGATAGAGATAGACAAAAAAAAAATAAAAAAAAAATCTTAAGTTCCAAGTCCTTGAGGATGTTAGGCAATGAGATAAGTATATAAGTTGCAGTAGTTGAAAATCCTTGGACATCATCAATTATAAAAACCATAAATGATTTTGGCGACAGATCATTTACAAAAGATGGAAGGCTAGATAATTATACATTTCAAATTTAAGGTCCCAATTTTTTTTTCTAATATTTCATTTGTTGGGAATAAAAAAATGGCCCACTTATAATTAACAAACTCTCTCTCACATCAACTCCTTTGATTGAAGGAAGAATAATCATGGAAAATAACATGATTATCAATCAGATAGTGGTAAGATTTTAGAGAAAGAGGGTTTTGGGAATGATTAGTGACACTGAGAGAAAGCTAAGGGATGTTACAACCATTGAGAGGAAAGGAAAGCACCTTAGCCCCATTGGCCATTTGGCAGCTTACATCAATTATGTTGTGGTCCCTGAAAAATAAGATGTTAAGACAACAACTAGGTGTTTGCAATTGCTAAGCTTCACTAAGTCTGAAAGTAAGAAAAATCCAAGACCAAGTTAAAATGAATAAAAGCACAAGTGATTTTTAAGGCAAAATTAATTGGTAGGCTTCAAAGTATTGGTTAGTTTACTTACTGAAGAAAAAAACCAACTTGGTGCTTGGAGTTGTGAATCTTTACCTAATTTGAAAGTAAGAAAAAGGTGTTGATTTTTCGGGTAATTTGACGGATTTCATTCCAACTCTTTTTGTTTGCCTGGTCTTAGGTTTTTGTTTTGAGCAAGTCATCAAGCTTTGTGTTATCACAATCATCTTCAAGCTAAGATATAACGTATTTTCTTTTCTTTAGCTTTCCTTTAAATTTTGGATTGTGTGAGACTTTTCTGTGTAATTGATAGACAATTTTGTAAAATAGACTAATAATTGCTCATATGATCCTTTAGATAGCTTAAATTAATAATTTAAAAGTTGTTTAAAATCTTAAAATGTCATTATTTGGATAAATGTTCATGTGATTAACGTGAACATTTTCTTTTAAATACAATTAGCTTTTGTTTGATGTTCACTAGTTACACTCATGTTTAAGCTTTTTGCTTGGCACATGTATTGGATGTGCTGTTTTCTTTTTGTATTGTGGATGGATACATTGAGGTTCTCTTGCCTTCTTTGCACCTAACAGCGATAACTACATGAATAGGGTGGACGAAGATATTGCGTGTGAGTGTGTGTTATATAATGCCTTAAGAGTAGGGAATAGGCTCTTTACCCCACTGAGATTGAGGTATCTTGGTGAAAGCATTTGGTTTGTGGAAATGAAAAGATAGTTCCAACTTCCAAATATGTTGTGAACAGCAATTAAAGGATTGATAATAAGCAAAACAGTGCTGCATTACTAATGATTTGTGCTTTCTTTGTTGGATTGAACCTCAATAAAATAGAGCTCCTTTCTTTGTTTTCAGGCTCTAATGTAATCTTAAAGTAAATAACATTTTATTTAAAATTTGAGAACTTATCGCAATTTGAAAATTAGATTTGTACTAGATTATGCTGTATGCATGCATGACATCTTAGATACATATTTATTGGTGGATGCTTTGGAAAGTAGTGCCTAGAGGTATTTTGTTGATTGATATCATAATCTCACCAGAATTTTCTTTTCCTGGTTTCAATATTTCAGGATCTATTTGTTTAGGTTTTTGTTTGCAAAATTAATAAGTGCCTAGAGAAGCTAACTTTTCTAATTGAGTGCTGAAATCTGGCCTAAAAAAATTGAGTGCTGAAATATAAAATTATTTCAGTACAGCTAAATTTCATATCAACAATAGTAATATTGTCTGTTCAAAAGATAGTATGGATAACTAGTGGCCAATGACAAATTGGGAAACAAGCCATTCATATGTTACTGGAAAGTGTCACGTATCACATATAAACTTCTTAATTTTTTTTATATTATAACTCTTTTGATTTTATCTTGTAGGTAATTTTGTTGTTGTGCATTAAAAGTATTTAGTTACTTGATTTGCGTGTGTTACAAAATATTTATACAAAATTTTTAAGAGATGTATTTTTGTGTTTCATTTAATTAGAATTTATAAACAACTAAGCAAAAATTATTATATTCTTTTTTTGCTAACCAATTATTATATTCTTTTGTAAATGAAATGGAGGTTTTGTTTAGTTATTTTTTTTTATATATATTTTGATATTCATTGAATTATTTTAAAAATAAATTAAAAACTAAAATAAAGTAATAAAAATTATAAATTAAATATAATTAAATATGAATAAAAAGTATTATTGATGAAAAAAATTAACTATTATCAATGGATTTTTTTTGAAAATGCCAATTTTGAAAAAAAGAAACTATTAAATTAATATACTGAAGGAAAAAATATTGTTACTGATAGAGTTTTTTATTGGTAAGTTATTGGCAAAATTTTATAATTTTGATGGAATTATATTACCGACAATACTTATATTGATGAATTTCATAAGTAAATTCTTTGATAATATTATGTTGATGGAATAAGAAGTATTATTGACAAAAAATTTCTTTGGTAACACTTTATTTTTTATAATAATTTCATTTATAATTTGTTTACTATAATTATGTAATTAACTAATTGTAACAAAAAATTATTTAAGAGCCTATCAATTGTCCATATATAATATTTTGATAGATTTATATAATTTTAAAATATAATTACTTAATAGTAATACAATAATTACAAATAATATGTTCTAAAAAAAAAAGAGATTCGAAAATTGGCATAAATAATGAGGTACTGCAATTATCAGTTTGCCTATAATTATATTATTACTTGCTTTTGGTGGTTGTTTAGCTTTTTTTTTTTTTTTTAATCATAAAAATAAAATAAAATATTTGGTTCTCAAAGTTTTGAAAAATTTTAATTTATGCGAGGAGTTCATGTGGGTTTTTGTATGAAGCAATAAATAAAAAATTTTTTTAAAACAGTATTATGTAATAAAAATTATTTAATAAAATTTTTTATATTCTTACTTTATTTTTTAATAATTTATAAAATTATGTAAAATTATATTATTTGACAAATATCTTTTTATGTCCATTTTTTCTATTGATTTTTAATTTGTTTTTATTTTTAATTGACAAAAGTATCTCTTAGTTTTACTTATTTGTTTCACTTATGATTTATAAAATATCTGTTCGTTTTTATTTACTTGATAGTGTACTTTAACTTTTGGTTAATAGCTTAATAAAGTTGAATCGTTTTTTTTTCATTTAGTAAAAATAAAAATACTATCAAATAATTTTCTACTATCACATTTAAAAGTTATTTGATTGATTAAAATTTTTCTATTTGTAATGTAATCTGATAAATAAATCAATGGAGTTGTATGTAAAAAATAAAATATATATACTGAAATTAATTAACAATGGGTAAATTTAAAAAACTCTCCATTTGATTAAAAGTAGAATAAATATCTTTATTTTTTAAAAGAAGGCATTTCACGTGCAACTTATTTTACTACAATCCTATAAATTCAATTACAATAAAAATTATATGGAGTTCAATAAAGACTTGAAAGGTTTCTTCCTATGTATAAAAAGGGTTGGTAGGATGTGAGTAAATAATACCTCGAGCATCTTTGTGGAGACTATGGGCTCATTGACTACCGATGAACTCAGAGCTTGTGACACAATAAATGATTTCCTCCAATAAATGTCCTTGGGTTAACTTCTCCTAATGTTCTTAAAGAGATTGGGTTTAGGGGTAACCACCTAGCTCTAACTCTCAACTCGTTTTTCAGTTGCAGCAATGGTAGGTCATGATGGCTTTTCTACTCCTAAGAAATCTTCAGGGTTTAGCATGGCCAGGTATACCAAATCAACCTCTAAAAGCAAGGGAAATTGTAAGGCCCCCCAGCCCGATGTTCAACCTTTTAGGTCGGGCATCAAGATAAGTGAACAGCCACCCCAGCACAATCATATCGAAGGTAGGTCTCCAGCAGCCATTGTCAAACTCAAGGAAAAGAAACTAGTTGTAAAGAATTCATATAAGAGGCCGAGGTCTGTTAATCCCTCCTTGGCCAATCTGCTTATCGAGTCTTCTGCTGCTGGGGGCCAATGCTACTTATCTGTGGAGTTTGACAAAGATGACAATGCATTTGATAATCTTGAGGTGGCCAAGAGATTTGGCCACTATTCTATGATTCAGAAGGGTAAGGTCAAGCTCGGTTTTTCATTATTTCTAAGTCGAAGACTTTTAGGTTTATTTATTTTGTCTAAGTCTGAGTTCAGTTCTTTCTTTTGCAGACTTTGATCAACTCTTGAAGTCCACTTCTCAAAACGTGGCTGAGACTATCCTGCACACATACAAGGCTTTTGTTCATCTCCTCAAGGCTGAGCAGGATATGAAGAAATATAACAAGGACATCATGGTCTATGTGGAGAGCAACAGGAAGCTTAGTTTCCAGTGCCGAGCTAAAAAGACTAATGACTAATTAGGCCAAAAAGTGAAGTTATTCTAGCAGTTTGACGACATGTCCATACAAAATGCTACCGCGAACTTCAGCAAGTCGAGAAACAACTGAGCAATATGAGGACCTTGATAAAGCATTTGAAAGGGGAACTTAAAAAAAGCCGAAGAGGCTGAACAAAAAGCTATGGAGAACTTCATCTTATCTGGGGATTATCATGACAGACAGACCGAGTTTGCAAGAAAGGAATCGAACAAGATGCTTAAAATTCCTCCAAATAATAATGTAGTGACCAAAGAAGAAAGAAACTCAAAAACCACCTACAAATCTAGAATCCGACAGCTGTGAATTCCTTCGGTCGTCGCTTGCCTCGCCAAAAATTTTAAGAAATCATTGAAAAACACAAGTCAGAACCCAAAAATCCCAAAAAATTTCTAAAATTCCTAAAAAATTTTGAAAAAAAAATAGAAAAACCCAAAAACAACTTAAAATTTTAAAATAAATAAAAACTAACCTAAACAAATATTTTGCCTTAAAACTAAATTCTAAACTTCAAAATAAAGCCCAAAACTCAAGAATCCGAACCAAATTTCGAAAGCCAAATTTACTTTTTTAAACTGTGGTGAAACGGCTACACAAGTTGCCTGCATGAAGCATGCTTTAGTCATTACTTCATTTCACTACCAAATCGAGTCATAATATTAAAAAGTCCTTATTGATAATGACTTTTCTACACATGTCACGCCCATGACCATTTTGGCTAGATTGCTTGTTGATGTATCTCATATGGAAGCTAGTTATATGTAGCTAAGAGCTTTTTATGGTACTTGATGTGAAGCGACAGTAGACATTGAAATACAATTGTTGATTGGTTCTTGCACTTTCAATATCAAATTACAAGTTATGGACATCTCATCATTGTACAGTTGCTTGTTGGAAAGATCAAGAATTCACATGGTAGGTGCTGTCTCATCCTCTCTACATTAAAAGCGAACACAAAGAAGGTGCTCAATTTTCATTCTTAGCCATTCTTTTTGTGTGTTTGTTGTGGAGGTGTAATGTACTCATTGTTCTTATAGGAATCTCACATTCCGATTTCTGCCTGTATAGTATATTTGTAACATACATGGTCAAACTTTGCTCAATGAACATGCATGTTAAAATTGTGTGCATTTGAAAATACAAAAGAGAAAAGAGAAAGAATTAATAAGCAATTGTAGATCAGAAATGGTTTTTTTTTTTTTTTTTTTGGTTATGTAATTCAAATTGCCCTATTGCAATTTGGTTAAGGCTAAAAGAAAATATCAAGAGAACATACCTACAACTTGAGTCTCCCATTTTCCTTCTTTTAAGCTAGTGCAACAAGAGAGGTTTGCCGCTAACAACCATCTCCACAAGCTATAATATTAAGAGAAACTATTAGCTTATGATAAAATCATGAGATTTGGGACAACATTATCAACTTATTGCAGTGGAGTGATTATGGAGAAAAGATAACTGGAAAGTCATCTTATTGTCCTAAGAAAATTAATAGAATCAAGTTAAAAGTGACATAAAAATTGCATTAAACATGGGCAATAATTCAAGAAACACAACACAAAAAAAAAAAAAAAAAAAACCAAAGTATTGCTATCAATAAAGTAGTTGGAATTAAAGTTAGTTGACTTTTCAAACCTTTAAAACAAGCTCCTTTGTTGTTTGAGTTGTTATTAAAACACTACACTGAACAATAATAGGTACAATCTTTTTGATAGCTGTCCATTGCAATTGGAATCACTCTGCAACTGCAAGGTTGCAACACGTTATATGTTAAAGCTGTCATAAGCAAGGCACTAAGCAATTTATACAACAGGCAGTTTTAGTAGAATACCTTTTGTTTCATTGTCATCATAATTTCTTTTAAGTTATGCTGATTATTTGCCTCTCCTAGTAGTTTTATGCTCATGAGCGGCTTGACCCATATAATAGTCAGGAGTGATTTTTCAACCAACAATATATTTGATTAAATATATCATTATAAACAAATAATTTAAGAAGCAATCAAATAATGGCAATAAGCATCATAATAAACGTTTAATCATCCACTAACACTATAAATTAAAAAGTTTCCAAATAAGATAGCAAAGTATAATGCAATAGCCAATAAGTACTAACAATTACACCAAGTTACCAAATACACTCAATTCCACTTAAGCCAAACTATATCAACCTATTGAATACTAGAAAGCAAGTTCAAAATAAAATAACTATCCAAAAATATAACTACAACTTTCCATGATATGAAATTAAGAAAAACAAGTTGCAAAACTGAATTTCATAGTTAGTAGAATTGTAGTTGTTAAATTGCTTTTATCTTTAATTTTTGAAAATAAAATAACAAGAATATCCATAATAAAATAGAAAAAAAATAACTTATAGTGAAAAGAACTAAAAATGAAATTAAAAGATTACTTCCACTTTTAATGTCAATCATCGATGACCATCTTTATTTCATTAAGAATGAAGTCCTTAAAATCTACAAAATATATATATAAAATTCATTAAATCACTAAAAGAATGATAAATGATGAGCAAATAGCATAAATATTCTAATTAAGTTATAAATAATTAAATACTTGCCAAGTTCAATGTTTTCCCAAACATCCAATTTTTTCTTACTTTCAACCAACACAGGTGTAAAATTTAGCCAATTCGTGTACATATAAGGGCCTCAATTGTTTATGGAGTTAAAGAACTATGAAATAGATCATGAACATGCCCTCTAGTGTTAAAAGTAGATTCAAAGGCTACAGTGGACACAAAACCGGCTAATACATCTCGCGCCATCACAACAAGTATTGGATATTTGCAGCCATTTACCTTTCACCGAAGTAAAATGTCAAAATTCTTATTATCTTGTTTATATATATTCTCTAAGTACCTTTCTAATTCTAAATTCCCATATTTTGCATTGTGACTTCACCTTTCTCCTTTTGTATTTGATAAGGCATATGTCTCTACATCATTAACATCAATATTCTTTTCTAACTACATTGGTGCTTTGGAACCAGAACTTATTCCTTTATTAGAGCCACCAATAATTAAATAATAATGCTTAAGTAATGCATTTAAGGTGGCCTTCGATTACCCAACTTCATAACCTTGTTTTCATCATAAACATCATCGATGATAAACATTGCATAATCCATCTTGCATTTAGGATCTAAAATGATAGCAATGAATAATAAAGGATTGAGGTTTTTTTACATTTCCCTAATATTTCTCAAACTTTTGTTTCATTTAAGAAGCCATCAACTAAATATTAGATATGGATAATGCATTTTGTCAATAATTTGCATTCCAATATCAAACACCATATAAAGTAATTATTGCTAGTGACATACACAAAACCAAAGATATGCAAAGTGAAATCATAAAGGCTTTTTAGAAAAGAAAACAATCCACAAACATAATTACAATCATCTTTAGTAGGCAAGCCTTTATTTTTTTTCGCCCTTTGTTTAACTTTATATTTGTTATCTTGTACCTCTAGCCTATCAAAGGCTTTTTGAAACTTCAAAGCAATTTTAAACATTAAAAAAGTTGAATTCCACCTAGTCTTAACATCTAAACAAATAAGGCTTTTACTTGTTATTTTTTTTTGCTTCACACAAATCTTGAATTTTTGTAACTTTGTAAGTGATGACATAAAAATATGTGCACAACACCTCATATGCAAATGCTCACTCTTTACAATACTTTCCTTCTAATTATTAAGTCTTCTTTTTACATCCTAATTTACTATTATGTGGTTCTTTTAACATCTAATGGAATAGGGGCAATGGCATTTTGTAGATCAATTGCTGTTATTGCTACTCTAGGAAAATAAGCTTCAAGCACTAGTGGCAGGTTCTGAGTAATAGTTAATCATCATAAGTATTTTGACTCAAAGTATTATTGGGATTGCTTGATGTTGTTGACTCCATCCATGTATCTAGATGATTAAAAAAAAAAAAAAAACTAGAATCATGAAAAGAAATGTAAAATAGTAAATGATTTCACAAACATAAATATTACTCATCCTTTACATATCCAAAAATATTCAAACAGTACCTTCAATTTAGGCTAAATTAAATGTATAACAGAATAAAAAAAGTGGTTTCAGTGTATGAATTGATAACATAATAAAGCTATATGACTAACAAAGATTTTCAAACACACACGAGTTTAACAGAAGAAAGAGAAGCAAATAGAATTGCGTAGTAGATAGTAACAACAATGGTAAAGACATAAGCTTTTAAAAAAATAAGGAAATTCAAAAAAAAAAAAAAAAGAACTAGGAACCAAAACGTCAAAGAAACACAAAAATTCCACCAAGTTCCCACAAATAGACATGAAATAATATCATAAAAAAATTGAGTTTTCGCTTATATATATATATATATATATTATAAAGAGAACTAGGAACTAAATTGTCAAAGAAATAAAAAAACTCCACCAAGTTCCCACAAAATAAACATGAAATAATAACACACAAAAATTGATTTTTAACTTTCTTTTGATATATTACTATTAAAAATTTCAATTGTTTTAAAACATCTTAACCAAACTAGGACTTACCTTGAAAATTCATGGTGTTATTTGGAGCTAGATTGTAAGAGTAAAAAGAACTGTGACTTTAAGTAAGATGTGAGGTGAGATTGAACAAGAGTAAAAGACTGATAGAGTGAGATTGAGATAGATTAAAAATGATGGTGTGGGAGATTGGGAAGGGAGCATCAAAATGGTATGAGAGTGAAAGATTGATAGAAAGTGAGATCACCTCACTTAGGATTAGAGTTATGTTGTTGTCGACACCACATGAAAAATGAGAAATTGGGAATGACTTGAAAATTAAAATGGAAATTATAATTGCCAAATTGGAATTGAATAAGCGGATAAAAAGGTTAAATGTTTTTTAGTTGGGTTTTAAAGTCTTTAAATTTGAATTAGATTTTTAGGCCATTATCAGTTTCACACTTTCACTTATTAGGCTTTTAGTCAAGTTAATTCAATTCTAAAATCCAAACGAAACAAATAGATCTAATTTAAAATTTTATTATTTTAATGATGTCATCTATTTGAATTAAAATCGAGTTATATAAAATTTGAACCAAATCGATCCAAACCCCTAATTTGAGTCAATTTTCTTAATTTTTTTCTTATACAAGTCATATAAGAAATCGTATAAAAAACATGTAGCATAATTCTTATGGAAGACTTCCACTTAAAAAGAAAGAATCTAGACACTAAAAAAAGATAACGCTAACGCTACAATGGTTTATAAACAAATAAATAATAAGAGCATAGACCAGTATTTGATAAAAAACCAAATTATTACCATGTCGTAAAAAAATATCTCTTTTCACCCAACTTTGCCACAACATTTATCGTCCTATTGACTTTACTGAAAATTTTTATCAAACTGATAGCACCAATTGATTTCTAA